GACGAGGATGGCTGAAGGCCTAAGGACGTCCACGTCAGAAGGTAATGATCAACGCGGGGCGTCGATCACGTGACTTGGCATCCCGCCAAGGCATGGCCTCCGGGAGGCCACCGCATAAAGGGAAGCCAACGTCCTCCCAAACCTCCCGCCAAGATGGGATGTCGGGAGGACAGGACAAGAAGCAATGAGGATATAAGGATGGATGGATTTCATTATTTACTCTCGTTGTGGTCAACTCAAATTGTACTTTCTTACTAGTATCTTTACTTAACAAGATTGTCACAAGTTAGTCTATTAAATAGATTAGTCTTGTTAAACCCTCCTTAAGCACGCCAACTCCACTGCATCGCCAGACAAGCCTCACGGAACACTAACGTAATACTCACCTGCCTTAGTGCGGACCAGGATAGAGAAGTATAGACCCTTACCCCGTGTAACACTTTGACCACCCACGGATCCAGTGGAAGGAGGATTAACCAGCAGCGTCCGAATAAGATTGAACTATGTCAGGAAATTCAAGCGAATATGTTCACATCCCAGGCTCGGCGCCTAAGGGAGATGTTAACATGACTGGTAGTACCCAAGGGGGAAATAACGAGCCGGCGGCAGGGAGCCCCGAGTACGAACTCGTCAATCTTAGACGCGAGAGCTAAGCCTAAGCAAGGCAGATGGCTGAGTTGCAGAATACGATTAACCAACTCATAGGTCAACTAATGGCCACCCCGAACGAGAGACCACTCAAGAAGCCGAAAATGGCAACCCCAGAAAAGTACGATGGAAGTCGCACCAAGTTGCGGACATTCCTTACCAACATCGACTTGTATTGTGAATTCAACGAAGTACCCAACGACTAGAAAAAGATCCTCATGGCCAGCACCCACATGAAAGGACGAGCGTTAAGCTGGATACAGCCATACGTGGAGGACTATCTATCAAATATCGAGAACAGAGGAACGAAGGACGAGACGCGCGCCTTGTTCACTAGTTGGGCCGAGTTCAAGAAAGAGATAGGACACATCTTTGGGGAAGTGGATGCTCAGAACCAGGCAGAGAAAGCGATAACTCGCCTAAAGCAGACCAGTTCAGTATCAGCGTACACAGCCGAGTTCAAGCAGCTACAGGCACGAATCGACTAGGACGACGCAGCACTTCGAACGGTGTTCGAAGCAGGTCTAAAGGAAAATGTCAAAGACGGACTTATACATCACGACAAACTAAACACGCTTTATGCGCTAATCGAGTTAGCGACACGCATTAATAATAGGCTGTGGGAAAGAAACCAACAAAAGAAATAATTTCAACCCACGGTGGCCAATACAAGGAGGCAGCGTAGCCGGTTCGACAAAGATGGCGACACTATCATGACCGGTAAGGTACAAGACAAGTCTAAGGACAAGAATAAGAAACCCCGAGGACAGTATAATAACGGACTCTCCACGGAAGAACGCAAGAAGCGTTATGACAGCAAGGCATGTCTCCGATGCGGTGAAGTAGGACACTTCCGCAGAGATTGCCCAAAAACCGAAGTCAGACAAGGAGCGGTCAAGATTGGGATGATTCGGATACCAACACCATACC